CTATTTCTGTATCTTCTCCATCCTTCTTGTAGGATGGCAACCAGAACAATGCACAATACTCCAAACGTAGCTTAACTGAAAGCTCTACACAGGTGCAACATGACTTGCCATTTTTTATAATCTGTGACTCAACCAAAGGCAACTGCATCTTGTTAACCACCTTATCCACTTGCACTGCCACTTTCAGAGAACTGCACAACTGTACACCAAATCCCTGTGTTGATGCTAAGGGTTCTGCCATTTACTGCATAGTTCCTTCCTCCATTAGATTTTCTCATTCTGAAGAATTCATATCAGACTTAAAAACAAATTGTTTCTTTGCTCATAGACGCTACCAGACCTGCAGAGTTTCTCCAGCATTCCATTTGTTACACTTTCATTTTGAATGCTGCACCCCCAAAACAAGAACAGCTTCTATACTGTAGATGCTAAATTGCTCCACTTATGTTCATTTCATATTCCTAATATCAATTTTACTGTTCATTAACAATATTAAGTACAAACGCTGAATTAACATTCTACCAAGTCGACGGTATTACTTTTAAACTGTACAACACATAGAACATAGAACACAGAACACAGCACAGTACAGGCCCTTCAGCCCACAACGTTGTGCTGACCTACTATCCTAAGATCAAACTACATTATACTATCATCCATGTGCCTATCCAAGAGTCGCTTAAATGTCTCTAATGTATCTGACTATCTGTATGGGTAGAAATTAGAAATAAGAAAGGAATGATCACCTTGATGGGATTGTACAATAGGCTCCCCCAGTAGTCAGAAGGAAATTGAGGAGCAAATATATAGGGAGATCTCAGGTACAGGTAAGAATAAATCAAGGTTGTAATAGTAGGGGATTTTAATTTTCCAAATATTGACTAGAACTGACATAGTGTTAAAAGCTTGGGTGGTGAGGAATGTGTTAAATGTGTTCAAGAAAATTTATTTTACCAATGTGTAAAGCTACCTAAAGAAGGAACAAAATTTTACCTTCTCTTGGAAAGTAAGGCAGGGGAAGTTACTGAAATGTTAGTAGGGGACTACTTTGGGACTAGTGATTGTAATAGCATTAGTTTTAACATAGTTATGGAAAAAGGATAAGTCTTTCATAAAAGGTAAAGCTCTTAATTGGAGTAAGGCAAATTTATTGGTATGAGACAAGAACTTTCAAAAATTGATTGGAGTAGACTGTTCACAGCTCAAGGGACAACTGATAAGTGAGAGGCCTTTCAAAAGTGTGATAACGAGAGTTCAAAGGCATTATGTTCCTGTTAGAGTGAAAAGTAAGGCTGGTAAGAGTAGGGAACAATGGATGATAAGAGATATTGCAGTTCTAGTCAAGAATAAGAAAGAATTATGTATTAGATATAGACAATAGGATAGAATAAATCACTTGAAGAGTATAAAAAAAAAGTATAGGAGCATTCTTGAGGGAAATTAGGCAAAGAGGCGATATAAAATAACCTTGGCAGATAAGGTTGAAGATAATCCAAAGAGATTCTACAAGTACAAGTACATTAAAATCAAAACAGCAACCAGAAAGAGGATAGGGTGCCTTAAAAACCGAGGTCATCTATAGGTTGAGCCTCAGGAGGTGGAGAGATACCAAATGAACATTTTGCGTCGGTTTTCATTGTGAAAAAGAAATGGAGGCTACAGAACACTCAGAAATAAATATTGATGTTTTGAAAACAGTGCACATTACAGAAGAGGAAGTGCTCGCGGTCTTAGGAAACAGAGGTGGATAACTCTCGGGAGCTGATCAAGTGTATTTCAGGATGTTGTGGGAAGTTAAGAGAAGAAATTGCAAGATCCCTAGCAGAAATATTTGGATGATCTATAACCACGGATGAGGTGCCGGAGGTTGGCTAAATTTGCGCCTTTATTTAAGAAAGGCTGTAAGGAGAAGCCTGGGAACTACAGACCTGTGAGCCTGACATCGGTGGTGGGCACGTTGTTGGAGGTGATTCTTAAAGACAGGAGTTACATGCATTTGAAGAGGCAAGGCCTGATTAAGGATAATCAGCATAGGGTAGGCAATGGCCTAGTGGTATTATCGCTAGACTATTAATCCAGAAACCCAGCTAATGTTCTGGGGAACCAGGTTCGAATCCCACCCCTGCAGATGGTGCAATTTGAATTCAATAATTAGGAAAAAAAAAACCCATCAGGTTCACTAATGCCCTTCAGGGGAGGAAATCTGCCACCCCTCACCGGGTCTGGCCTGGCCTACATGTGACTCCAGACCCACAACAATGTGGTTGACTCTCAATTGCCCTCTGAAATGGCCTAGCAAGCCACTCAGTTGTACAAACTGCTACAAAGCCTCAAAGAAATGAAACCGGACAGGTCGCCTGGCATTGACCTAGGCACCAGAAATGACAATGCCAGAAACAAGCCTGTTGACTCTGCAAAGTCCTCCTCACTAACATCTGGGGGTTAGTGCCAAAATTGGGAGAGCTGTCTCACAGACTAGTTAAGCAACAGCTTGACAGTCATACTCACAGCAACATACCTTACAGACAATGTCCCGGACACTACCATCACCATCCCTGGATAGTCCTGTCCCACCGGCAGGACAGACCCAGCTGAATTCCAGAGGTGAGGCGAGAGCAACTGAGTGTGGCATCAAGGAGCCCTAGCAAAACTGGAATCAATGGGTACTGGGGACAAACTCGGATGGTTGGAGTCATACCTGACACATAGGAAGATGGTCATAGTTGTTGGAGGTCAGATATCTCAGCTCTAGGGCATCTCTGCAGGAGTTCCTCAGGATAGTGTCCTAGACCCAATCATCTTCAGCTGCTTCAATGACCTTCCCTCCATAAGGTCAGAAGTGGGGATGTTTGCCGACAACTGCAGTGTTCAGCTCCTCCGATACTGAAGCAGTCCATATTCAAATTCAACAAGATCTGAACAGTATCCAGGCTTGGGCTGACAAGTAAGTGACATGCACACCACACAAATGCCAGGTTACGACCATCACCAAAAGACAATCTAACCACAGTCCCTTGACATTCAATGATGTTGCCATCACTGAATCGCCCACTATCAACATCCTGGGTATTATCATTGACCAGAAACTCGACTGGACTCATCACATTAACAGAGAGGGGCTACAACAGCAGGCCAGAAGCTAGAAATACTGCGGTGAGTAACTCGCCTCCTGACTCCTCAAAGCCTGTCCAACAGTTATAAGACGCAAGTCAGGAGTGTGATGGAATACTCCACACTTGCCTGGATGAGTGCAGCCCCAACAACATTCAAGAAGCTTGACACCGTCCAGAACAAAGCAGCCCAACTGAATGGCACGACATCCACAAGCTTCTACTCCCTCCACCACCAACGTTACCACCAACACCTCCACTACACTAGTGTGTACTATCTACAAGATGCACTGCAGAAATTCACCAAAGATCCTCAGTCAGCACCTTTCAAACCTACAAACACTTCCATCTAGAAGGACAAGGGCATCAGACATATGGGAACACCACCACCGCCATGTTCCCCTCTAAGCCACTCACCATCCTGACTTGGAAATATATCACCGTTCCTTCACTGTCGCTAGGTCGAAATCCTGGAATTCCCTCCCTAATAGCATTGTGGGTCAACCCACAGCAGGAGGACTGCAGCGGTTCAAGAAGGCAGCTCACTACCATCTTCTCAAGGCAACTAGGGATGGGCAAGAAATGCCAGTCAGCCAGCAATGCCCACATCCCATAAATGAATAGAGAAAAAATAGTTTTGTGCAAGGGAAAAAATGTCTCTCAAATTTGATTGACTTTTTCAAGGAAGTAACTAAAAGGATGGAGGAGGGCAGAGCAGTAGACATTGTTTACATAGACTTTAGTAAAGCCTTTGACAAGGTTCCACTTGGTAGACTAGTTAGTAAAGTTAGATCACATGGGATTCAGGGTGAGTTTCTCAATTGGATACAGAATTGGCTTAATGGTAGGAGACAGAGGGTGTGGTGGAGGGTTGTTTTTCAGACTGGAGGTCTGATACCAGCCATGTTATATAGTGATCAGTATTGGGTCCACTTTTGTTTGTCATCTATATAAGTGATTTGGATAAGAGTATAGGAGACATCCTTAGTAAGTTTGCAGATGACACCAAAATCAGTGGCAGTGAAGAAGGTTATCTAAGATTACAAAGAGATCTTGATCAATTGGGTCAATGGGCTGAGGAGTGGCAGATGGAGTTTAATTTGCCTAAATGGGAGATATTGTATTTTGGTAAAACAAACAAGGGCAAGACTTATACAATTAGTGGTACAGCCCTGGATAGTTACATAGAACAGAGAGACCTAGGGGTTAAGGTACATAATTCTAAGGTACATCCATGTAATCTGGGGATTGGACCTGTCTGTAGCACTTTGTCCCTAGGGTACCTACTGCACCACCTTGTCACCTTGACAGGAGGCACCTGGAGAGTGATTGAAGTCCCTCATCAACATCTTGCTGATCAACAATGACTAAAGTGATGGAATACAGGTCCATTCTATGAATGCACCTGGCAAACACCAAGTGTCCTGCTGGATTTCAGTCACCACAGCTTTTGCCAACCTGCCGAGAAAGACAACCGACTGCACGCATGCTGGAGCCAGCATGGTACTGGCAACAATGGTGGTTTCCTCCATCCTTCATACCAGCTTACCAAGTGTCTCTGACAAAGCGGTGCCTCTTCCTGCAGGATAGAAAAGTGGGGTGTTTTCTTCCCCCAATCGACTACATAATTCAAAACGCGTTCCCATTTAACTCAGTACCTAGGGCCAATCAATGGTAAATCAGAATGAAGACCTTCTTACGCAAGAAACAAGACTCGTTAGTTTGGGGAAAGGTGTGAAATACCGAGACTCGAAGAAATTTATAGCCTTCAACCCAAGCCGGGGCACTCAAAAATGTTTCTTATTCAAGCATATCCCAGGCAGTAAATCAGTTCCTTTACTGGTCAGAAGCACAAAACAGATCCAACGAGCCACCGATATTTGTACTCACCGGGAATTTGAAAGACTTTCCGACAACGTAAACACACCCTCACGCCGTCCCCTCCCTCCGCCATTTTACACCGACCTCGTGATAAAGTCCGCCTGGCCAGGTCGGATAGACGTCAGCGCCTCTTTCGAGCCTGCGCAGATTGAGGTATTAACACGTGGCCCGGATGATGTCTCACTGACTCTTTGTTAATGTGTCAGTGTTGGAAGTATCCAACGCCAAAAAGAGCCTTTGCTGTTGACGGTTTTTGTGTGGGACTGAGAATAGACACACTCAATTTATCCGGGAAATAAGGTAGTACTTCCTTGTGTGCGTCATTTTATAATAGTTGATTTATATTAATAAACATTTACGTTCAATCTAATTTTCTCCAAGGGGTATAGTACATACTAGGAAGGTTGGAATGGCTCCATCATAAAGTAGATTTAAAATTAAACATACATGAAACACTGGAAATACCGAATGGCATCAACGTGAAATTGCCTTATTTTTTGGCTTATGTGGACGTAATATATAATGGGAGATTCAAGCAAACGGATGGCCTGAAGATCATGAAGGAGGGCTTTTTTTTATACTACTGGCATCAGGTCTTTACAAAGATGAAGGGAACGTCAGGTTCATTACGGTCACTACAATATAGTAAAATTTCATTTTCATTAAGCTTTGCAGCCAGTTTACAAATAAAGATGGGTCTCCAAGTGACATTATTAGTGTATATTTCGCCAGGAGATACAGACTAAAATTGATGCTGATGTGGTTCAGAAGCAAAACAACCACCAGATGGCACTGTTGTGGAAATTATTTTCTATTCATAGTGCATATATTGTGAAATGATGGCAAGACAACTTCAGATGGTATGAAACTCTGATTGTGTCAAAGTTGTAAGCCGCCCCTGCCGGTAGAATATTAAATCCAATGGAATGATGCCTCTCCTAAGTCAAAATTCTACACTGGTTACTCCAGATTAGTTAAAGTTACATAAGCTTACGATCAGGGCAAAATGACCAAATGAATCACCCAACACCCAGCTGATCTTTGTTGTCAAAGGGCCTTATTGCTTTACACTAGTGGGAAGAAAACCTCTGGCTGTCCAGAAGTTTCTTCACTAACAAAAGGAAACATACATTCACTTATTTGCTTTTAGCTCTTCTTTGGCTGTGACAATCAAATCATATTATTAATTGATTACATACACATCCAAACAGGTTAATCATGTGATGCATGATTGGTTGATGGACAGTTCTAGGTCTTTCCATGATCTCATGATGTTTACCAGACTCTCTTATTCTTGAACCTAATTCAATCATAATCCAGGCTTCAGTTCCTACACAAGTTATTCAGTACTCCCCTGCCAATACCAAGGGAGCTCCTATCTGCCTTAGAGTGAATATCCATAGGCATTCAGTTAAACGTTATTGCCCTTAATACCTGTGTAGTGATGGGAATGAGATTGGCTAGGTGGATCTTGTTGAGTATGAATTCTCTGATTGGCACAACTTAACAGCCCCGATTAGCAAGTCCTGGCTGACGGATATAAACAAGAGTGGCCGGGTTCCTAGTTACTTTAGGGCTGTGTCACCAATCAAACCAAATTTAGGGCATAAGCACAGAATTGTTGCATGAAAATTCCAGCAAAGACCACCATGCGAACTCACTTGGAGGTGGCTAACACCATATGCATCACAATAGCACAATTGGATGAGGCAATCATGGATGTAGTATCTTCAAATGAGGGGGCCAATGGCTCTGGGAAGTCCAATGAGTGCCCACCTGCTTGCCAACCATGTTTCCCCACCCTGAACAGAACAGTAGAGATAATGAGTTTTTATAAGTGCTTATTTATAGGAATCATTACCAGCTATTATAAAACAAAACACACCAGGAAGTATATAATTTTCTGGGTAAATTGCAAGGCTTTCTAGTGTCAGTCCCAAATAAAAATTATTAATAGCTAAGGCTCTGTTTGGATACTTTAACCCATGAAACATTACCAAAGCCCCAGTGACAGATCATCCTGGCCACATGTTAAAGCAGAAAAATCATATAACCTCTACAGTGTGGAAGCAGGCCATTTGGCTCATTGAATCCACACTAACCCTTTGAAGAGCATCCCACCCAATCTCTGCAACCCTGCATTTTCCATGGCTAATTCACCTAGCCTGCACACTATGGGCAATTTAGCACAGCCAATCCACCTAATCCGCACATTTTTGGACTGTGGGAAGAAACCAGAGCACCCAGAGGGAAACCCACACAGACACAGGGAGAATGTGCAAACTCCACACAGATTGTTGCCTGAGGTTAGAATCAAACCCAGGTCCCTGGTGCTGTGAGGTAGTAGTGCTAACCACCTAGCCATTGTGCTGTAAGCTTGGTCTGTGCAGAGCAAAGCTAATGAGATGCTCTGGGATTTCACACTGCAGCATGACAACATGCTTGACGACTTCGACAACATGACAAACTGTTATACAGTTATAACACTCTTCCAAAGTCTAAGCGGAAAAATATTACAGAATTTGTTCCAGAGTTAACTCTAAGCACTTTTCAATGCCTTTTACATGGTCAGGTGATCACAAGGTGTAAACAAAACAATATACATTTTTTTCATGCATGTATTGTTTTATTGTGTTTACATTTAGCATTCTATTGAATAGACAGTGCATCAGGAGACAACAAAAACAGAAACAAACTGGAAAAGCTCAGTAGGTCTGGCAGCATCTGTAGAGAGAAATCAGAGTTAACGTTTCAGATCGAGTGATCCTTCCTCAGAACTGTATCTATAGACAAATTGGATTACATAGAGGCCTTCTCAGCTTTCTTGAAACTCAGCTTAACACAAATTTATGAGTGGATCTCTTGGGATTTGACTCATCAGAAGTTTACTATATCTAATATATCCTTGTTTAGTGTTCATTTTGAGCACAGTACAGTTTTATGTGTAATAATTCTTTCTGATTAGCCAGATTTCTGATGCATATGAATGCGTAAAAGTCACTAAGCCAAGCTATTGAGAAATGCAGAGTGTAACATTTGGAATAAAAGCAGAAAGGACTGTTTCTCCAGCACTTGCTGTTTTGATTGCAGGTTACAAGCTTCTGCAGTACAGGCATTTTGCTTTTATTTGAATGTAAAGTTTGCCTTTGAGAAATATAAAGTACAACTTGGGGACACAGTTCACTTAGCTGAAAGAGTAGTCAAAAATTGTCACAGAAAGTTTTCAGAGATTACAGTTTTCAGAAGCGTAGAATTACAGGCATGTGTAACCTGGGAAAGTTCTGACATTACTGATATTGGTGAAACTATTAACTGAATGATGGACAAAATCACACAATGGCCACTCAGTGCAACCACTAAACTCATGATACAAACATTTTCCTGCTTATCTACTACTCTTACACCCATTGCCGCATTATTCACCCTGATATGGCTTTTTAAAGGATCAACTCCAATTTCCAAGCAGGCTTGGCATGGTAGTCCAATTTTTATGCAGGATTTATGCGATTGGTCTTTCAGTAGACATACAGGCAGTTCAGTCAGAACGAGACCACACAGCAATGTTACAGAGGAAGAGAATTTTCTGGGGAACATGCGGCTGCAGTAACACACAGTGGCCTATTGCCTGAAAGGCAGATGACATCCTGTTCTTTCTTGACACCAAGTCAAAAAGAAAGATCTGTTGAAATAATTGAAGCCTCTGCCAATTGACCAAATTCTACATTCAATGAATGCTCAGTGGATTCACTCCTGTGGAGAGCAGATAATTGCAACTTTTGACAGATGGCAAAAACTCAGTCATCAAATTATTTTACCTTGTAATGAAGTATATCAATGAAGCATATAAAATTGTGGGCAAAACGTTTAAAGGAAAGATTATTAAATAATTGAATGAGCTGTAAAAATGATTTGATAACATCTGGTATATACATAAAATTTACTTTGTGGAGTTAGAACTAAAAAAAAACATTTTTGAAGACATTTTTTTCAATTATCAGATTATTTTAAATGTATCTCACTTTAACTTATTATTTTCTAAAAGACACTTTTATCTAGCATTAGAAATTATTTGTACTAAAATTATGAGCAAACTCTTTTTCTTAAAGATTTGTTTTGATGTGTTCAATCATATCCATCCTAAGCTTGACAATATCTTGTTTTAAAAAGTTATTCTCAGGATGTAGGCATCGCTGGCTAGGCTAGCATTAATTGCTACAGAGGAAGTCATGGCCTCCTTGAACTGCGACAGTCCTTGAGGTGACCTCTGACCTGGTCTTGTAGCCATAGTATTTATATGGCTAATCCAGGTCAGTTTCTAGTTAATGGTAACCCCTAGGATGTGTGACAGGAGAAATCCAGTGATGATAATGCCATTGTACATCAAAAGGCAATGGTTAAATTCTCTCTTGTTCAAAGATGGTCATTGCCTGGCATTTGTGTGGTGTAAAGGTTACTTGCCACTTATCAAGTAAAACCTGAATGTTGCCCAGATCTTTCTGCATTTGGATGTGGACTGCTTCGGAATCTGAGGAGTCATGAAGTTGAACATTGCATTATCATCAGTGTATGTCCCTACTTCTGACTTTACGATGGAAGAAGGGTCATTGATGAAGCTCTTTGATGCTTGTTGCCATAATTGGTCAACTGCTCGGTTGAGATCATTGGCAGATCTTTTGGCCTTACCCCTCTTGAGTTCAACACTTTTCCCCATGTTTGGACCAACAAGTAATGATATCAGGAGACACATGGCCTTGCTGAAACCTAAACTGAGTATATGTGAGCAGGAAAGTGCCTTGAAAGTGCCACTTGATAGCGCTGTCGACGGCCCATTCCATCACTTTGCTGATGATTGACATAAATCAATGATGTGGTAATTAGCCAGATTGGATTTGCCATGTTTTTTGATGTCAGGATATAACTTGGCAATTTTCCACATGGCAATGAAAGCAGACTACTATGGCATCTGGATATCTGAAGGTAAAACAGAAAGTGCTGGAGAAACTTAGCACGTCTGGTGACATCTGTGGAAGGGGAAACAAAGCTCCAAAGAAGAGTCATATTGAACTCAAACCATTAACTTTGCTTTGCTCTCCACAGCTGCTGCCAGACCTGCT